TTACTGCCTGGTTCTTTACAGAATGTTTGCCACCCTCTGCCATACACTAAACATGGTTGGAACTCAATCATGTACATAATTATACTAAACTTTAAAATAGTTTCAGCTTTTTATTGTCAGTTGATATTTCCTTTTATAATCCTTGGATAGTAATTTGTTTAAATATAAACTATTTGTGAAAGCATATACACTTATTTTAAAACATTCAGTATGCAGAGATAATTATAACCCAAGTCTCTGTGTATTGAATTCTACTCTCTAGAGGTAATTGTTAATAACTTGATGCCTTAATTTACATAGTCATGTATACATGGACTGTATCACTGAGGGCCCAGAAGTAGTATGCCATGGTGAGGACTTGGGCATTTCTCCTTGGGCTATAGTAAGTAAGCCATTGCAGGATTTTAAGCAGTATAAGTGGGGTTTTACAGTTTTAAAACGTAAGTTTTGAGTCATTCTGTTTGATGTGTTGAAAATTGACTATAGAGGTGTAAAGGGCAAAGCAGAGGTCAAAAATCCTAAATAGAAATTGCTTTGGAGTCTGGGAAGGGTGGATTGGAAAGATGGATAGTGGCATGCTTACAATTGAGATTATGGTGGTGGGGTGGGAGGGGTGTTAAGATGATTGGTGATATGATGTCTGTGATGTGAGAGTGAGTGGCTGAGATGCAGTTAAGGGCAGAGTTGTTGGAGGTAGGAAGGTTAGGGAACTGAGAGGACAGTGTCAGAGGAGCATTGACCTGCATGCTAAATATAGAAACCACTAAGAGGCATTCCTCAGGAGTGGTGGTGGACAGAACGACAGGAGCCACTAAAATCTTTTAAGAAATGAGGGAGAGTGACCCAGAGGGCTTTGGATGGTGGCAGGAGGGGGAGGTACTTGGTATCTCGTGACAACAGTTTCAAAGATTTTAGAGGTGAAGGAGGGAGAGGGACTATTTGTTGTCTTGGAGTGTTTTTTAAAGAACAAGGAGCATGTTAAATTATGTCCAAGCCCCTGGCACAAAGAGTGTTGGAGAGCAAACAGCTACAGCTTTGTGAAGTGAGCTAGCGTAGAGAAAGAAGGTGAAGAGATCTCTTAAGAGAAGACTCTGAGGATATAGTTTTGTTGATTATATTTTGCTGATAATTTTTTTCTTGGAACTATGTTGCTGAAATCCTGGTGAGGCTTTTAATATTATAGTTGGGAGTAATTAGAGTTGGGGCTGATTAGGGCGTGTCCATAGCCATTTGGGACTAAAGCTCAGGGTGATGATAGAGCCCGTGGGAGCTTGGGCCTCCTGTGGGGGTTGACAAGTCGGATAGAAGGGCAGGTGGGCTGAAGGAAGTACTTGGTGGTGAGGTCTTGAGTGTTGGGTAGGGCTGGGGATAGTCCTGACAGGTGCTCTGGGGACCCTGTTGTGTGAAGGCTAGAGGAGGGTCACATTTCATGCCAACTTCAAAGATAATATGAGATGTTATTGCTAATATTCTAATTTATTGTTTTTATTTCTAGATACTGCAAAAAGCCTTTTACTTCAAACTGCACAATTCAGATAGCGACACCTGGGAAAGGCAAGAAATCAACACCAAAACCCATCCCTATTCTAGCGGCAGGTTTTTGCTCAGACAAAAATTCCTTGTTGCTTGTATATGGCAATTGGTTTCAGCCCACCATTGAGCGAGTGGTACGTAGATGCTACTCTGGAGTAAAGCAGTAACAACATGTCTATGGAAAACAATGATTTTTAAATGATACATTGGTCTCTTATTGGAATACTTAAAAAGAACCTTTCACTGGGTGGTTTATTTTCATTTGTGTGAACTGTAATTTTCATAATGAGCATATCTAAAATATTTCAGTGCTTAGTTAATATAAAACATTAGAGATGTTTGATGCTTCCTCCTCCTCTGTTTGGTGTGCTACAGCTTTGAAATCTGGTGTCTCTTTTACACTTAAAAGCATATAAGTTTGGTCTATCCATGTTTAAAATGCTTGGTAGCCACACATTTGTAGTGGCTTTCAATACACACACACACACACATATTATTGATTTCAGAGTGGAAGGGAGAGAGAAACATCAGTGATGGGAGAGAATCACCAATTGGCTGCCTCCTACATGCCCCCTGCTGAGGATCGAGCTCACAACCCAGGCATGTGTCCTTGACTAGAATAAAACCTGAGACCCTTCAGTCCACAGCCAATGCTCTCTCCACTGACCAGAAAACTCAACTAGGGCATGGCTGCTGTTCACAGATAAGGATGAATTTGCCCAACTACCCAAAGTTAATGTTGTTTTGTTTTGTTAATCTTCACCCAAGAATATTCCATTGATTTTTAGAGAGAGTGGAAGGGAGGGGGCGGGGAGAGAGCAAAAATTGATGTAAGAGACATGTGAGACATATTGATTGGTTGCCTCTGGCACTTGGTCCTAGTGGGGCCAGGGATAGAGCTTGCAACCAAGTTACATGCCCTTGCCTGGACTTGAACCAAGGACCCTTTGGTCCATGAGCCCACACTCTATCCACTGAGTCAAACTGGCTAGGGCCCCAAAAGATAAATCTTAAAAGGGCCCTTAGTGATAGCACCCATTGAGTTTTCTAAGTGGAAATGTAACGGGTGGTGCAATCATCTGACTTTTTACAAAAGTTTCTTTGGGGCGGGCCCAAGGTGTAGATAAGCCTCGGATGGCAGCTGCCCAGCCTCCCAGGGCCACCTGAGGCTAAGGTAACCATGGCCGGCCAAGGTTTGCACTGCCGGCAGTGGCAGCAGCAGAGGTGTGATGGGGTTGTTGCCTTCCCCTGATCCCGGGGTTGCCTCCCTACCCTGAGGACCCCTGAACTGTGACAGGGGGCAGGCCCGTCTGAGGGCCCCCTCCCAATTCATGCACCGGGCCCCTAGTACATTTATAAAACATTGGTTCAGGAAGACCCTCAGAGACACTGAATGGAATATTTCATGCCAAAGCAAACTCTTGTTGAGTTTATTTAAAAATACTTTTTAAACATCTACATGGATTTGGTATAAAAAAGAAAAATTTTAAGTTGTAAATAAAAAGTCTTATTGCCATATGTCGACCCTATTGCCCCTGGACCCCTCCAGATGCAGCCATTGTTTCCTGTTGTTTTATCCTTCCAGACAAATTAATTATATGGCCATAGAGAATTACATGTAACCTTAAAGCTTATGGGTACAGGTGGGCTTTTCTGCATTTGACTTCCCCTGTTTAATGCTGAATCTCAGAGCACTTTGTTGATCAGCACTGCTGTCTTTGCCTCACTTATGGAAAGGCCAACAGTAGGAAATCTGGGGTAGGATCATTCTTAGCTCAGATTAATTATTTACAAGGGTGATGAACTTACATTTGTCTTAAAAGTCTGTCACATAAAATTTCTGTTCATAATATGTGAAAAATTCAAGCAGTTCCTAACTGAAAAAAGTAAACAAATGCCTTGTATCTTCCGTTTTCCCATTTTCCTCAGTGCTATTAATTTGACAGTCTGAGTTGCTCACAGTTTTATATAGAAGTCTTTCATACTTTTCTGTATTTTCATGAAAATGTATAAGTAGGCATTTGGTTTTCTTATTCCCAGTTACTTTGTTTGACATACTGTCCCCTCAAAATTATATTTACAGGCTTTAAATTCCAAAGAACCTCATATGTGCTTAGTAAGAGATATTTCAAACTGCTGGGCTCCAACAGTAGAAACAGCTATAACTAAGGTAAGTGCTTTACATACTAGAAGGTGAGAAAAAAAAAATTTGGGTAAATTGAATTGTTATATAATATTATATTTGGATTCTTTAATATCTTTATAATTTTAATTTTGTGGGATTGGGTTTTAGATATCAAGGTTATAAAACTTCATTTCTGTTCTCTGATTTGTTGAATGGAGTAAGTAAACAGATGACTAGAAGTTGAAGACCTTGCTTTTAGTTCTTTCTGCCTCCATGCATGTTCATTGAATAAATATCAAAATCAAAATCACCAATTATTTTTTTAACCCAGTACTTAAAGGAGCATAAATTTGTTGAGAGGAATGTTATATTTCAGGGTGGAATAAGACCTAAAACCATGATGGGGCTGTAACTTAAGACCATGAATAAAAGCTAAGCTTATCATGATGCTTTATTTTGAATATAATGTGACATCTACATGTAGGTATTGTTTGGCCAGTTTAATGAGAAAAGGAAAGCCAAGACATGCTATGATGACATCCATATGGTTTCGCTTCTGGCTGAATTTCAGAGATGACACCTTTCTCTTGGCTGTCTGAGCATTTCTGGCAAAGATCAATTACTGGCGGTGGTCATAAGATGTACAGCTTTACTCTTTAACAGTGTTAAGTCAGTGTGTCCTTGTGTAATCTGTAGATTTTGTTTTTTCTGGCTTTTAATCTTATGTAGTTTTGAATGCTTTAAAACTATGGCTTCAAATTATAATTTAAATACTTATTTGCCAACATTCATTTAAACTTTATCTTTGATAGCTATGTTAAGTTAGTCAATAAGTTTTCCAGTAGAAAAACCTTTAAAAGCTGTTCATTTTCTCAATGGGGATAAATATAGTAAGGACCAAGGCATAATCCATGCCCCTTCTGTTCCTCGTTCACAGGTGAGAACACCAGTGATGAATTCTGAAGCAAAAGTGCTGGTGCCCGGGCTACCTGGTCATCATGCAGCCATCAAGCCTGCTCCTCCACAAACTGAGGAAGTAGAGAACAAGAGAAAATTAGGGGAAAAGGAGGTAATGTAATCACTTTGACCATTTTTTTGAGTTTGAAACTTTAGAAACTTACTTTTAGATTGCAGCTTTTAACACTCTGGTTATTTATCCCCAGTGTGTAGATTCTGAAATTCCAGATTGTGACTTTTGTAAGACCTACATAGAGTTAACAGGTGGTTTACTTACAAAGCCACTGTTATGAAGAAGACAGCACTTCTATTAATTAAAGAGAGGGCTGATTTAGCCATTTGTTAGGTTAGCTGGATAACATAATTAAACAGATTAAGCCGGGACTTGCTGTGATGATTTTCGTTGGGTTTCGCATTATGCTGAGTTCCAATGATGCCTCTTCTCTTGGCTGTCTGAGCATGCCTGCCTGGTTTAGTGCTAGTTGATCTTTAAAAGTGATAGTTATTACAGCTTTTTAAAGTACTTATATAAATTTTATTTTTTCTCAGCTCTTCAAACCCTCCTGTGGTTGCTATATTTACATATGTAGAATCCTCTTTTCATCTTCCAGTCATGTATCACTGCTGTCTAAGTAATCTAACATTTTAACTCTTACCATTAATTAGAGAAAGATTGTTAATGTTTCTTTACCTGATTTTAAATGTCTTACTTTGTATAGTGAGAGTTTGGGAGTAACATTGCTTTTCATAAAAACTGTTTCTCAGTAACATTAAATGTATCTTATCTAACAATAGATAAACATGTAAAATTAACCATACTTCCGCTACGCCCATGGCCAATCAGGAGTGAGTGTGCAAACTAACCCGACAAAGATGGCGGGTTAATTTGCATATGCAGAGCGGCTGGGTGGGGCAGGATGTCTGCTATGAGAGGAGAGGGGTCGTGCGGAGGGAGCTATAGGAGCAGTGCTCTGGCCAGGAGCAGGGACTTGGTGGCTCCTGGGCGGCTGGGAGCGAAGCCAGCAGAATGAAGGCCTATTCTTGTATGAATATGCAATGGGCCTCTGGTATTAAAAATAATGTGCCAACTTTCTTGAGCTTGGCTTAGGTCTAACCCTTTCATTTCCTCTTGCCTTCTTAATATTTTTCATAAGTTAAAATATTCCAAACTGGAAGCATCTCTTTTTGCTTTGATGGTCAGAAAACATTTTTATGTAATCATATTGGTTTTATAAGGGATCAGTTCTATACATTTAAGTTTTTGTATAGCAGATTTTATCATGTTAATTTACACTTATATTTTAGATTTTTATCAGGGGAACTTGGTTGTAGTTTTGCATCTTATAGAAAACTAGGGTCCCTCAACCTGGCCTGTGCTTCTTGCAATCCAGGACTCCCTTAGGGAATGTCGGACTGCCAGTTTTGGCCTGATCCCCGCAGGCTCGATCTAGACAGAAGGGAGCCCAATCCCCACAGGCCCATTCTCCGCAGGCCCGATCCAGATATAATAGATGGAGCCTGATCCTGTGCTTTGAGCACATTTCTCCTGGTGGTCAGTTCACGTCATAGCGACCGGTTAGCTGGTCATTCTGTCTTTTGGCCACTTAGGCTTTTATTTATTTATTTATTTTTTATTTTTTATTTATTTATTTTTATTTATTCATTTTTAACATTTTATTGATTTTTACAGAATAGAAGAGAGAGGGATAGAGAGTTAGAAACATCGATGAGAGAGAATCATCAACCAGCTGCCTCTTGCACACCCCCCACTGGGGATGTGCCCGCAACCACTGTACATGCCCTTGACCGGAATCAAACCTGGGACCTTTCAGTCCGCAGGCCGACGCTGTATCCACTGAGCCAAACTGGTTTTGGCCACTTAGGCTTTTATATACTGTATGTGTAGAGAAAGATATAGATAAACCACCACCTGGGACTGACTGATAAAGGTGAAAAATTTAACCCTTTGCACTCCGCTGTCCCCTCTCAGGGGACATCGGAATTCTAGCATATCACTCAGATGTCCCCTCTCAGGGGGGACGTTGCAGTTTATTAGTGATTACGGGGAATTGAGTTAATTCAACGTACGTGTCCGCTGCAAAGTAGCGTGGAGTAGCTGGTAGCCAATGTCCAGAATGGTTCGGAGTGCAAAGGGTTAAAAATTGTTTTGGAAACAAGTCTCTATGCTCTTTTAATAGTATTTGTTTCCTTTTGCAGATCTCAGGTTGATGGCAACGAACAGTTATTTTCACTTTGTGGAAATAAGTCTTTTCTTGGGTTTTAGTAATCAGTTGTTAGATCCTTGCCCTTTTTGAATCTTCATATATAGAGGGATTTTTATCAATTACACTAGGCCTTGTGCATGAAATTCATGCACTGGGGAAGAGAGGGGTCCCTCAGCCCAGCCTACGCCCTCTCGCAGTCCGGGACCCTTCAGGGGATGTCCCTCTTGTATTCTGGGAGCCCTTTGGGGGATGTCTGTGACCCCTCAGTCTTTATCACCTGCCTGCTCGCTGCTCCCCAGCCATGAATCTGGCTTCTGGCTGAGCAGCTCCCCCTATGGGAACACACTAACCCCAAGGGGGCAGCTCCTGTGTTGAGCGCCTGCCCCCTGGTGGTCAGTGTGTGTCATAATGACTTATTCCGCCATTTGGTTGATTTGCATAGTAGCCTTTTATTATGTAGGATATTTAAATTATGGCTTCTTGGACAGTTGTTTTTTTCACTAGACCATAGAAACTGGAATTCTAGATACTACACTTGGCTTTATGGCAATGAGGTTCTATTGGAATGAGAAAGCAGGCTTGTGTTTTTCAGGGTTGACGTGGGAATCCGTCAGTGTCTTTTGCCTTCTCAGATATAAGCAAAAGTAATTTGACGAAACTACTTTATGCCCTAAATGGTTTATCATTAACGGGTTATCTCTCTCTTGTAGGTTAGCATTGAAGAACGCCTGGGATCATTGAATATAGAATCAAAGAAAGAAAAGGATGATCTACAGACAAACAGTTTTCCAGTTCTTCTGGCACAGGGTTTAGAAAGTAATGATTTTGAAATGCTAAATGTAAGTATTATAGCAGTTTTTAATTGAATTAAGATGGTTAATTTTTCTTAGAAATTATTGTCATATACATTCAGAGTGAATTGTCATGTTATATAGCCATTTTAAATGTAATATTTTATGAGTTGAATCAAATATATATAATTTGGTGGCATTATACAGACAGTCACTAACCTACAAAGGGATTGTATTAAATTATTTTGAACCGGGAATGCATTTTCTCATAGAAATATTGTTCAGAATTGTTATTAGGATCTTAGGCTTTAGTTTACAAAAGCCTTTGTAGACAATAGTATACCCGAATTACAATGCTCAGCATTCTAGATCACAATTTATATTTTTTTCTGTAGGAAAATGCGTTCCTGAGTTTTTACTCTGGATTCCAGAAACTTATTTCCCCCTGGCCGTGAGAGGGGGCAGTGAGGTGGAACCTTGACAATGGGTAGGAGGTTTGGGGAAAAATTCAGGAGGGTTGGGGGTTATGTTATAAAGTATTTAGAAGTAAAAACTACTAAAAACTTTGTATAAAGGAAGGCATTTATGATTTCTGTGTTTGTAAGTTGGTGACTGCTTGTATGAAGTTACTTAACTAAGTCTTTTTAAATTCCAGAATTTGATACTGGTCTGTAGAGAAAATTTAAGTGTAAAAAATTGGATTTAAGCACTGTTTGATTAGCTTAGGGCAATTTATATTTGCTGAATGCATATAATTTTGGTAACTCGGCAATATTACAATGCCACTTAGATGTGGCTCATATAATATGTAACTTATGAAGTTTGTATTCATATATGTTTTAAAAATCTATTTTTTATTAATTTCAGAGAAAGGGAGAGAGAGAGACATCAATGATGAGAGAGAATCATCAATTGGCTGCCTCTTGCACACCCCCTTCTGGGGATTGAGCCTGCAAACTTGGGCATGTGCCCTGACTAGGAATCAAACTGTGACCTCCTGGTTCATGGGTCTATGCTTAAGCACTGAGCCATACCGGCCGAGTTTTGATTTATATTTTTTATTTAAATTGGGAATATGTTATGTTTGTGTCTAAGGTGGTTTTGCAAAATGAGAGGGGAAATCATCATCTCTAAAGTTAAAATGACTTCAAATAGTTTGGAAGTATATATATTTTGGAAGGTAGATTATAGTTTAGCATGGCATGCACAGCTGGTTTTCAGCAAAGGTATTTACTAAGTTGAGTCAGTGGAGAGAATAAGTCTTTGAAACTAGTGCTGAACCAACTGAATATCCACATGGGAAAAGAAAGCATCTTGGCTTTTACTTCACACTTTACACAAAAGTCATCAAAAAATAGATCATAGGCATAAATGTAAAACCAAAACCTACAAAACTTCTAGAGAAAAACAAAAAAAGAAAAGAAAATTTGAGTGGAGAAAGGTTAGTTAGATGCATTATAAACACAAAACAAAACAAACAACAACATAGGATGCTAAAGAAAAATTGGTCATTTGGACTTCATGGAAATTAAATACTTGCTCATGAAATGACAGTTAAGAGAATGAAAAGGCAAGCCATAGGCTGGGAAAAAATGCAACTCATATTTGAGTGAGAATTTATATCCAGAATATATAAAGAACTCTTACTTTGTGAGACTTAACTCAAATAAGAATTCATAAGGCTAATTACTGCATGTAAAGCTCTTATGTATCAGTAAGCATCACAAATGCAAATTAAAATTACAGTGAGATAACTCTATTAACTAAAAGATTGATTAAAAATTAAAAGACGGACTATTCCATCCTATATGGATGTGGAGCAACTGGAACTTGCATCTTGCTGGTGGAAATGTAATATGGGTACAAATAATTTGGAAAACAGTTTGGCAGTTTCTTAAAAGTTAAGGATACATCTGTCATATGACCCAGCCAGTCTAGGTATTTGCCAAGAGAATAAAAAAACTAGGTTCATACAAAGACTTATATGTGAACTGTCATAGCAACTTTATTTGTAATAGTCAAAAACTGGAAAGAACCCCAATATCCCTCAACATATGAATGGATAAACAAATAAGTTATTGATACATCAACATGGGTAAATCTCAAATTTAGACTGTAAGAAAGAACCCAGAACAAAAAGGTATATATTGTATGATTTAATTTATATAGTAATAATTCTAAAAAGTAGTACCTACCAATATATAGGGGTGCAGGTGCAAGGAGGGATAGTACATAAAGGGGCCCAAGGAGACTTGAGGGTAATAGAATGTTTACCTTAGAGTTTGTTTCATATGTAAACGTTTATATCAAATAGTACACTTTAAGCGCACACAGTTTATTATGCATCGTGTATATTGCAGTGAGATTGTAAAAGAAGAAGCAAATGATCAAAATTATCTTAACCATTTGCGGCTGTGTTGTTTAGGGTTGTTCTTTAAATATATT